TGTAGTTCGCAAAGTGGTACAGCTGATCTTCCCCCTGACTGCCAACAGGCCACTCCGCCCACGTTTCACGGAACATCACGCCATCCACATACCCTGTTGCCACCCCATTCGTTCCCTTCTTACTGTGGGCGTTCACCCCGAGGTACTCATCCCTCCATGTGTCATCAGAGAAGTTGCCGGACAAAAAGCCAACCAGCCCAGCCGTGATCTTACCAGTAGTGCAGGCAGTGTCAGTTGATTTACTCACCGTGGCACGTGAAGTGAGGCACAGCTTGGAGACACGTTCGTCCGCTTTCTTCCAGGTCGCCAGCACATCCTTCACCCGCTTCAACTGCGCAGTCAGACGCACAGAGACCATACCGAGTGATGATTCCGCATCGCCCTTCTTCTTCTCGTACAGTGCAATCAACCCCTCCTTTTTCTCATTATCAGTTTTAATTGCACCACTTTTGTACAGCAGGGCGCTGGCGGCAACGTCTTCAGCTTCCCCGGATACCGGCCCAACATCAACAATGTGCGTATTGTCCGTCAGCCAAAGATGGAGTACGCCCTTTCCATTGTTGTTTCCATTTTTCTCCTTTTTGGCATACACCGGCAGAGTAACGAGCATCACGTCCCTGTTCTCAATCGTCGCTGTGATGAAACCGCTCCCGCGTCTCTTACCTTCCTTTTGTTTGTTGCCCCACACGCGCGAGAGTGTCCCGAGTGCCTCCGTCCACGACTCCCCCTTGTCGCCGGACTCGTACACCCTGCGGCGGCCATCATCACACGCAGTCATCATCATGAGTTTGTCCTTCTCCCACTCCACGACGGAGGGATCACTGCAGCCATCGGCAGACATCCCCTTCGACAGATTCCCACCATCAGTGGCTGTGTATATGATCAGCGAAACGGTCTTTCCATCCTTCGTGCCTTCCACGGGCAACACAAGCGTACCGTCCTTCATCTTAAGACCCGATCCACCGCCACCAATCAGCCGTGTCAAGGATTCGTGTTGCTTTTCAAAATAAGTCGACGGGATAACGTAAGCGTCGTTCCAATAAATTCTTTTATCGCTGCCCTCAGCACTGACGTTGCCGCTCGCCACCAAAAGCCCCCATTTAGCTGCTGCAGCTGTCTGATCAACGCCTTCAGTAACTTCAAAACTGTAGGTTCCAGCAACCATGTGAATATCACTTCCCTTCACAACTGTTGTTGGCCGGCTCATATGTACTTTCGTCTTACTCTGAAAACCAGCCGAAACTTCTGAATGGGGGGCACAATTCTTATTTTGGGCAGGACATTCCTCCAGTACTTGTGTCTTCAATTGGGCTGTACCCAATTCTTTTGATTCCTGATCAGTTAACGTCAAGAGCTCCGAGGCAATCCCAGTAAAACCGCTCTTGCTGGCTTCCGTGCACTGCGCCTCGGCAACGGCAAACACATCACCATTCACCTCAACAAGACTGGGATCACGGAGCAAACTCACTGTTTCTCCTTCTTTTTTATCTCTCCAATCAAAATATTTCTCCGGTAAAGCTCCCTGAGTTGAAGTCCCCTTATTAGTGGCTGCAGCTCCACCACAGATGGCGCAGCACATCATCACGACGAGGAGGAGCAGCACCGCGGAAGTAAACACACGCCGGGACATGTTGAGCCTCCGCGGCTCACTCTCTCTTCCTTCCCTCCTCCTTCCGCTGGATCCGGTCACGCGGCGACGGTTGTGTGTGCGGGGTGCCTTCACAGCAGCAACACGTGAGAGCATATAAATATGTGTGTGTGGGCGGTGTGTGTGCTGTTGTTAGTCCTTTCAGAGCCTTACAATTTCACAGTAGCAATTAGCGCTTGTTTGCTTTCTTCGTAAGAGAGTGAGAAAAAAATGAATAAAAACAGGCTAATAAAATATGGGTGAAAGAATAGGCACCGCCACCCATCCACAGTGAGTGGCATCATCATCCCCGCTACAGTCACTCCCAACAACAACAACTCACACACACAGACACACGGAACGAGGCGGAATAACAGTGCACCGGGAACACACAGCGACCGCCAACACCAGCAGCAGGAGTCACGGCGGGTGCGTCGTTCGTCACGCGTCAGCACACACTGCGCAACATGTCAAAAAAACAAAACGCGGGCTTCTTCTCTCCTCACGAGGGCCTCCGCAGCCACAATCCTGTGCGTGCGTGCATTCTCAGCGTTTTAAACACGGCATGTGTGTGTGCATGTGCTTGTTTGTTCGTCAGCGCCTATACTTGCAGAGCAGCTGTGCGCCACAAGAGAGTCTGAAGAAAGCAACGGCAGAGAGAGGCAGATAGCACACACGCAAATTACTCATATCATCACACACACACACGCAGCCGCGGAATGGGTGCACTCAACCACAAAACAACGAAAAATAAAACAAAAAGCCGAAGCGTGGGACGACCAGCGCACACACACTCTCATTACTCCCGTAATGCAAAACACACACACAGAGGGAGAGAGAGAGAGGTCTCCCACTCAATGCAATAAAAACAAAACAGAAACCGTTACGGTGCTCCGCCCATGCAGCCAGGCAGGACGGCAGCGGTGCGTGTCGTGCAAAAGAGAGCACCAACGGGCCTGCATGGGTGTGAATGCATACATACAATGGGCACATTATGTGTGTGCCTCGTGGGGTGAGGTGAGGGCGAGAGTCCATGCAAGGGGACACACACACAGAGAGAGAAGGAAGAGTGTGTGTGCGGGCGGTGCACGGCTCTCTCACACTCACTCTCACGCGGCCACCACCGCAGCAGCAACAACAAGAAGAAGAAGCAAAAGAGGGGAGGTGGTGTGGGAGACCGCGGTGCTGCTGTCACTGTCGCCATGAGAAGCTGTGTCATTTGTTTTGGCTGTGGCGATTGCTTTTGTTGTTGGGATTCCTGCATTCTGAGCGGCAGCCTTCTCTGCGCTGTCTGATGCGTCTTCAGTATCGGAATTCGTACTGAGCTCTGCGGTTCTTTCACTGGAGGGTTTTCTCAAGCCATTTTTGGCCGGATTGCCTTCTGTGTCATCGTCAGACCGCAGGGCCATAGCTGCTGTGGGGCTGCCTTTACTGTCGCCATCTATTGCCGTCTCACTCGTGCTAGCTGCTGTCGTGACTGGCGGTTGTATTTTTCCCTCACTGATTGTCGGAACAACATCTTTTTCGAGACCTTTCTTGTCGTCCTTCTTTTCTCCGGCAGCTGACCCCTCAGTATTCTTCGCGCCATCTCCATTCGTACGACTGTTCTCAACACGATGTCCACCTGTAGAAGAGGATTGCGGAGTTGTTTCCGGTGTATCGTTGGCTGATTCACCCTGCGACAAATTCAACAAAACTCGTTGTTTATTTTGATCCTCTGGCAAACTGTTAATTGGGCGTACCCCCGTTTCAACTCGTTGGGTCCCATCCAGTGAATTTGACCGCAATTCCTGCTGCTCAGGCAACCGCACGTCTGCCACTTTAATTGGATTGCTTACAGGCCCTTCTTTATCTTCTCTTTCATGTTCAGTGGCAACAACGTCTTTTTCCGTTACTCTCGGGGATTCTCGCACATGCGTGGGTGTTGATACCTTCTGAATTCCCGTTGTTTCTGTTTCTGAACTTGGGCTTCCTGATGCGGGTGGTTTATGTTCCGTGGATTCCGGCGGAACTCCCCTTCCACTCGCGAGATCACCGGGTTCACTCTGCAACAAACTCGGTGGATCTTCTTGTCGTCGCTGAACTCTTCCGTCTGGCGGAGTGTCGTCGGAGGGTATCGTTTTTTCACCTCCTTTTGCTCCATTCGGTGACGGCCGCCGTAAGATCTCATCGTCGGTTGAGTGCAATTCCGCCTCTGCTGGTGCATCGCCTTCAGACACCCTTTCTCCTCCTTTTTGAACGGTTTTCCCTTTTTCACCATCAACTCCAACTCCACGGCGATCCGCTTCATCTCGCTCAGCAACGACTTCATCCTTTTCTTCCAAAACATCGTCTGAGCGTCGGGTCGGTGATTCTTCTTTAATTTCTGGCGCCTGTGGTTCCACGCCCGGTATGACTGGGGATGACAATTCCGTTTCTTCCAATTTTTTGTTGTCCCCACCAGAAACAAAAACATCGCCACCGCCAGCATCATCGGCCGCAATTCCAGACACCGCACCACAGCACGCAGAGAACACACACCAGCAGCACACGGCCAGTCATCATCGCCAGCACTCCTGTCACTTGCGTGTAGCCTTCAGCAAAAGTAACACCACGTCAACAGAGTGAAAAGCAAAAAGATAGACACGGCCGCTACACCACGCACAGCAACAAATGGCAGCACCCCAGCAGCAGCAGCGCACACACCACGAGACACATGGAGTCAGTACGGTTGCAGAGCTCGCACACTGCACCGCAAACCAGAAGTTCAAAAAGCAATAAAAACCAATAATTAAAAAACAGAAATTAAAAAAAAACCCAGGGCTCCAGTGCGCATGCTTATGAGTGTGTCCGCGATGCGTTCAACGTGACGGATGCGGGGCACAACGCGGAGCACACAGCACGGCAGCAGAAGCAAGTGAAGCAAAACACAATCATTATTTTCTCTTATTTTATACAGTGAACCACAACACACACGCACAAATCCCCGCGGTTGAGTGCTGGCACGCACAGCCCGCACACACCTCTTCAGCCCAGAGCGGTGTACGCCAGCGCGGATGCGGCAAGCAGCAGCGGGGCACACAACCACGCAGAGCTGCTGAGGCTGCCGTCGATTCTGCGAAGACGTGACGGTGCGCGGGTGGTCGTCGTGGTGGTTGGTGCCTCTGTGATCGTAGTACTTGGTGCCTGTGTTGTAGTGGTCGTCGTGGTTGTCGTAGTAGTGGTAGTAGCCGCCGTGGTCTTCTTGGCCGAATCGTCGGCATTCGTATTTGCATGGTGTGTGGATGGATTATTGCCACTTTTTGAGCCTCTCGCATCGTTTTCGCCATTTTTCTGTACCGTATCGGCTACCGGAACTGGACCCCCTGAACTGCCGGATCCACCTGAACTCTCTTTTTTAATAGGCGCCGGACTTGTTGAACCTGGACTTCCTGCCAGAGCGGTCGCCCCACTTGGATTTTCTGGCAGAGCTTCTTCCGCACCTGGAGCCCCTTGCGCATCGGACTTTCCACTTTTTCCCGATGACGCAACGGCCGCAGCTGCTGAACTTGACGTCGTGGAAGTATTTGTTACCCCTGAAACACCTGTTCCCTGTGACTGAGTAACCGAAGAAGTGGGGCCGTCCCCACCTGAATCCTGACTACTCGCTGTCGCGCACACGGACGGGCAGCAGCAGTACAGGGCAAGCACCAACAGGGCGCACAGCAGACGGCACGTCATCATCATCGTGAGTGTGGTCGTTCAGTGGTGTGGAGCTGATCTGCACAGTGAGGGACATGGAGAGCAACAGGGGAGACGAGAGGTGCGGCAGACACACACAGAGGGCACACCACATGAGGAGAGGGCAGCAGCCAGGCATGCACCGTACGCCGCACACCACGCACCACACACACTCCAATCCACGGCAGCAGGCACACACACACACAGCCCTGCCACAACAACAACACACAGATGGAAGAGGGAGAAGCAAACAGGAGCGGCACACAAGGCTCCACCGCATGTACATACGGCGAGAGCGGTCCGTCGTGTCGGCACCCCTCACGGAGGGGTGCGCACACACACAAGAAGGTGCAGCGCACACAGCAGCACAAAAGCATAGTAACAATAAAAAAAGAAGAGATCCCCGCACACCACGCGGATTGTTGGTCCACGGGAAGTGCGGCCAATATTCACCACAAAGAAGATTGTTATCTTGTTTTGGTTGTATGCTGCTACAATAGCGAGTGAGTAGCGCAAGGGCCGTCCGTACAAAAGTGGCAAGTATTCCGTCGTGCGGGCTGGGGCAGTCACAAACAGTCGCAGTCCAGTTCCCAACGACGAGGGCATTCCCGCAGTGGATGGGGCGGAGTCTCCCGTGGTCCGTCGGGGATCAGCAGCCCGTGGCGTCCGTGATGAGGCGGTGGCGGAAGAGCCTGGTCCATCTCGAGTACCCGCGGTGGTGCCTCCTGCGTGTCTTGCCTGCCGGCATGCTTGGCAACTTCGGTGGCGACCTGCGCGCGAGGCGCCTGTTAAGAAGACGGTGGCGCCATTGTGGCATCCGCATGGGAGGCCCTCGCAAACTATTATAACGCCAGGCTGAGCACGTCCGGCATGTGCCCTCATACTGTGGACGGACAAGCGCACTCTGCCGCAGGTTGGGCAGGAGGACGTCAATCCGCCGCTCGCTGGTCGACAAGGAGTTGCGGTGCTCACGTCGGGAAGAGGTTCCGGCGGAGGCAGAGGCGGGCCGGCCACCGCAGTGAGGGAGGGACGGCGCCACCGACACAGAGGGTTCCTTGTGATCCGCAGGGCGCGTGCAGGCCTGTCGAAGAGTGGGCAGGCGTCGCATCGCGCCTGTGCGCAGTGCCGCCACTCGGGGACCGATGTCCGGGCCAACACCAGGAATAGAGTCCTCGCCACACCGACAGGCGCCTGTCACGCGGTGTGTGCGCCCTCCTTTTCCTCCTGGGCATCCTTCCATTATAGCCTCTTGACGGCGGTAAGGGAGCCCACGTGCCAGGCATTGACGCAGTCCTGCGGGAGGGATCGTGCAATCGTGGCTTGTTTGTCAGCGGCCTCACTGCGTGGAATACCGCAGTGTGATGGGAAAATATAAAATCCACAGGGTAACCTCGCTTCACCAAGGAAAGCAGCATAATCCAAATTTACTCAGTAACGCGGTCTCGCACGGTCGGTCCAAGGCGGGGTGCCTCCATTGCCGAGAGGGAGTCCGTTTCCTCCAGCATTCGCGTGGGCGATTGGGATGCTCCCAGACAAGGAGGTATGAGATGTCTAAAAACATTTTCGATCGCAAGGCAGTCTGCCCTATATGAGCATGCGAGGCTGCCAGCTGCTGCACGATGCACCTCCACAGGGAGATCATTTGTCGTGGTGGAGTCATATAATAGCGCAGCGGATCCAGACGCACGCACAGCGAGAGAAGACGAGCCGTCCACCGCCAACACAGTTTCCAGCGAGTAACAAGACGTTGGCCATGAATAGGAGACTTATACCTGCACTGCCGTGGGCGCGTACAGCGGCCCCGATTCACGCAGCAACAGTGATCTAAAGCCCTTGGATGGTACAACAGCCACGCCTGAGCCCAGCACAGTCCTAGCAAATGTTGAACGAGTGGTAACGTGTCGGGTGGCGCTGATGCCGCACAGGACTATTTGCGCACAACGTCTGGGAAACCAGAGATCCCATCGGAGTGCGACGCAGCATCACTTGTGAGCAACGGTTTTTGTGAGCAGGGGCATCTCACGGATTTGTTGGCTATGGCTGAAATTGGTGACATCGCCGTGCATGGGTGTGTGTCTCGGGTGATGTTGCTCTTGATTCTGGGGCTGTGGGGTACTGTGGCGCTCTGCTGAGGTGTGAGGGAGGGTGGAATTACGGCTTTTTGTGGAACAATAACTGTGCAGCTTGCCAGCATTGCCCACTGAGTTTTGTCAATAATTTAAGTTTTTTTTATTTTCTTTTATTTATTCATTTTTGCTGCTTTTGCCCTATTGGAATAATCGGTATCCCTGTGTTTTTCCCCAATGCCCGTTTGCTGCACTTCGTCATGAGTGACGTGCTTCTCCTCTTGTTTCCTTCCGTTGCCCACACGCGGTGCCGGCCTCATTGCTGTGCGTCCCACGGACTGCACGAAAGGAGGATTGGAAGAAAAGACTGGATGCCGCAATGAAGTGTGAGGAGTTGTGTGGGCTCACGGAAAAGCACGATCTTTTTTGATTTTTTACTGCAGGCATTACGTATACAAGAACTAGTGGTCGTTTACGTTGCGCTGCTTGGCACATAAAATAAAGGACGTCCCTGATCGATTTTTTATTTTTTACTTTTGGGGAATTTTACCGGACTCTCAACTCTGCTGTTGTGCCTTTTTTATTGCTTTTTTAACTTTTGGTTTGGGGAGCGATGTGCGAGCTCTGCAATTGTACTGATTCCAACTGCCTCATGGTGTTTTCATTGCCATCTGTGACTGTGCGTGATTGAGTGACGTGTCTCTCCTTTTGCTTTTTGCTCTGCATTGATGGGGAGTTGGTTTGTGCTGAAGGCTAAACGCAAGTGACAGGAGTGATGATGGCGATGATGACTGGCCGTGTGCTGCTGGTGTGTGCCCTCTGCGTGCTGTGGTGCGGTGCCGGCGGTAGATGTGAAGAGGAGGTGGTGGAGATTCCTGTCGGTGGTGATAAAGTTGCTGTGGGGTCGACTTTAAATTCAACGCCGGGATCAGATAGCTCAGATCCAACAAAAGGTTTGCTCAAGGTTAATCAATCAACAGAAAAGTCTGAAGGAAAATCTTTGGAAGGAAAAGAAGTTAAAAATGATCAACTGTTTGTTGCTCCTGGAGTGGAGGGTGAAGATAGAGGCTCTTCAGAGCAATTAGAAGAGCGTTTGAAAAATGCTCCAGAACAAGGAAAAACAAAGCCAGAAATACAAAATAAAGAACAGGAAGTAGGGCAACCGCCAAAAGCGCAATTAAATGTACTACAGCAACCGCAGCCACAACCGCCATCAGCACCTCAGCCACACACTCCTGCTTCACAAAGGGTGAAGGTGTTGGCGAGAACAGTAAGGGTGGAGCAGGTCAGTCCTCATTGGGAGCACAAGATATTGGAAACGAGGATCCAGAGAACCCCAAAGAAGAAGACTTATTAAAGAGTCCAGGTGAAGAATCAGAAAGCAGTGAACCGGTCCAAACGACAGTGCCAATACACAGTACCGCCGGAGCACAAAACCCGAAAATGAAGTGTTAACTCCGGAACAAAAGACAAATGAAAGCCAAAGCACGGATACATCCACGAACCTACCCGAAACACAAAAGGAAAATAAAGAATATCCTGCCTCCACGGAAGGTACGGCGCAGAGTACATCAA